CGATCAGGAGGAAGCTGGTACTGGCGATCCCCATTTCTACTCGCATCCAGTCTGTGTTTACAGCTAAGAGATGAAATACAGACTGCAAACTTACCTCTTCCTTTCGAACAAGTAAATTTCAATGAACCTTGCTAGATATTTAATTGTTTCGAGATCTCCTTGGTGTTTTTTGAACATTACTACCTCATCTAAAATGTTGCCGCTGCTAGACCACGGCGAGGTATTTTTTCAACACAAATTTATGACAAATAAAGCTTTAATAAACGTTTGCTTCCGCACTGCTTCGTTGAGCTGAGGAATGAACGAGGGAGATTGGCAAAAATTACATCCCGGTTAGCTTGTTGCTGCAAATTTCTTAAGCCCCACGGCAGAACTAAAATTAGGAAAGGAGTGATAAAGAAATTTTAAATCCAAAATTTCTTTTTTTTTTCAATTTCCGAAATGAAGTACAGTGCTGTTTCATTGATTCTAAAAGATATTCACTTTTGTTTTACTTACTTTGACACTTTGATCAATTGTTGTTTCATCACTGCGCATGCCTTCCAAATATCCGCATAACCAAGAAGTCGTTTACCTGTTGTTGCTGTGCCCAGTGCTACTTCGCCAAGTGGTCAGCTTGTGATGACCGTGGCGCTTATCTTCTTGTTTGCTTTTTTCTAGACAAGCTGTACTAAATTCCCCGGATGATTCCCGCCGTTTGTTCAGTTTTTGAGGCCATTTGAGTTTTTTGAGATAATTTTTGAGGTTATATTAGCGTTTCGTTTTTTTAACATTCAGATTTAGTGAAAGGTATGTTTACCTGATACTTCAAATGGCTACTAGTTGACCAGTGATTCGTGAATGGTATAGCCGATCATCACGCGGAAATGGTATATTTAGTAGTCTGTTATACCTATGCTTTCAATTTTGCAAAATTCCATATTAGATATGTCCTGCGATAAACTGGAAGGTATCCACCATTGGGCTATGCAGCAGTGCGCTCGTTTTTGTTTTGATTTTCCTGTTATGTTTGTTGCTGTAAGAGTTTGTCGTATTATCGAAAAATTCTTGAAATGTCCGAGATTCACAACATAGCACTAGTTCCTCATCGGTATCCATGAAACATTTCAAAATGTTGGGCTTCCCGTTTCCAGGCAGTCGAGAGAAATTCAGGTACTACTTTCTTTATACCTTTTTACTTTGATTGAAAGTTATTTCGAAAAATTCTTAAAATGTCGAAAAACTCGAAAAATTCTTAAAATGTCCAACATTCACAAAACAGCACCAGCTCCTCATCAGTATCTATGAAACATTTCAAAATATTGGGCTTCCCGTTTCCAGGCAACGGTGAAAAATTCATGTATTACTTTCTTTATACTTTGTTACTTTGACTGGAAGTTATTTCATCATGTCGTTCCTTTACGTCATCGAAGCTACTTTCCTTGAGTTTTCGTGTTCGAAATTGCACTGATTATGATTCCGATATTTGTTTCTAGAAAAGACCCAGCTGTTGCGTCTTCCAGTTTGTTCCTGCCCTTGAAATTGAGGGCACCGTTGCACCACTCATTTCAGCAACCTCATCACTTGTCTTCCTTGCCGGGTAAAACTGCAGCAAAAAAGATAAGTTTTTCTATTTTCCGGTAATTTCGAAGTATTTCGTCATAAAAATTGATGAGTCACGGAAAAATGAAGTGTAACAGTGTCTCTCTTTGCGTTCTTGTTGTCCGGCTTGTCAGATACACTGTATCACAGTGGCAACCAGTGAATGTCACAGCATTGCTGCGCTAATCGAATTAACCTTTTTTGATGGGTTTTCTGACGGAACTCTCTCTTTTTTCTTGTCTTCCAAGATGTTTAAAAATAAGTCGGTGTTGTGGGCGTTTACCGGTCTTTTTTTAGCTTCTACTGCCCTGAGCATGTGCTCTGAGCATTCTTCCATTTCGTTTCCTTTCTGCCATCGCTCCTCGACCAACTCAAAGATTTTCTCTTCGCGATGACGTCGACGAAACCCGGTGCTCCAGGAACAGCAACTATTGCCAATTTTTCAGTTTTCAGCATCGAAAAGTTCACTTGAAATTGCACCGAAAACAAAAAAATACCTCCGAGGCCGGCCTTTGTATTTCTCTTGCGCTGTCGCTTGTTTTCCAAGCAGTTTTTTCAAGGCGAACTTCTGTGCCCTCCAAATTTGTTCATCATCCATCGTTTGCGGACGATAATCGCCAATTTTTCGTCTATTTTTTTACTGGTTTTGTTTAAAATTCACAATCATTCTAATATCATTCTGACCTAGAAACAAATCTATGAAACACTGTTGATCCGGGTATTCCAAATATAAATACCATCCCCATCACTCTGTACAGTTTCTTTTCGCGGCTAGTTTGATATGTCGTTTTCTTCTCATAGGTTACGACCATTGATACTTGGCAATAAACAGGTAGCTATCGACATAGCGCGGTAGGTATAATGAAATAAAGAAGTAGCATTGTGGCCGAGAATTTGGCTTCGTCGGCGAGACAACCAGTTGTTCTAGAATTCGTTTATTCATTTCGATGGTAAATTGGTACTGACAGATGCCATGGAATCCATCTCCTTTTAAGTAAGCTTCGAAAGAAGGGTCCCTCGAGGGTGTCGTCGGTAGGTGATTGCTGCTGGCATTTGCTACCAACTCGGGCCACTTATGTTTCCGCTTCCTGTAAAAAGCGAAGATGGAGTTGGAGGCTTTGATTTTCGAATTGTTCATTGAATTAACGCAGAATTATAAATTTTTCCCCTCATTAAGCACTGCGACCGTCATACTAATGAGATTCTGTTACGGTGTTAAGACGTATATGACTTAATGGACCGAAACGTTTTATCCCACTTTTGGGTTCCTTCCTCATATTGCTTTCTTTCTGTATTCAATCGTACTTTCTCCACTTACGCTTCCAGGGTCAACCTGGATGCTACAGTCGGCTTGTAAGGCCCTCAGAATTACTAGATTACTTTTATGATGAAATGATCGTTTCAAAGAGTAGCTCATTTTGTTTTCAAAAATTCATCCGCTTTCATTTCATTGTGTGCTTTCAAGTCCCATTGATGTGGTTTTCATCTTGTGATCCTCATATCTCTGAATGGTTTTTCTTATGACCGAAACTGGATCACCTGCAGTTTCTGTCCCGAACATGTATTTCATTTCTTTTCTTCTCTTTAGCTTACGAGCGATTTTTCTGTTTCTCACCCCAACAACTGGTCCTGACAACTTCAGGATAGTTGAGAAATGCTGCGAATTGCCGCGATTTGTTAGAAATCATGAAGGATTTCGTTTTCTCCGTGTTGCATTTTCATTCTCAGATCACAAGTATTGCTCGATTTGTTAGCACTGCGATTCTGGAGGAGATCATGGGATAAAGCATTTGTTGAAAGTCTAACACGCTGTTGGTACTCTGTCATGTGCTACATTCTTGTTGCAGAATTTGTGAAGGATTGTTCAGTAACGATGATCCATGTTTTCAATAGCCCAATCGACCCAACATCACTGTCAGAATTTGAAAAAGCGAAAGGCGAAGAAACTATCTTCAAAGGAGGCACAACTGTAAATTTGAATGCTTTTATGATAATAACTAGAAGCAGGGATGATGGTATTCAGGCAACTGCTGTTTAGAATGCAGTTCTGGCACTTTTTTTGGAAGAAAATTCCGTGTTTACTTCTAATTCCCGCATAACACTGCAAAAATCGCCATTTTTGTAGCTAGAATTACTGAAATAAAACTATTAATCGCAATTTCTTTGCTGTCCAAACCACTGAAATGCCATAATTAGGGATTATTATGGTAAGGAATAATCATGTTTAGGAATCGTTGAAAATAATTCTCCGAATGTTTTAGTGCCTGTACATTTTATATATTCAATCCTGTGATGAATCTATGAGTGCAAGATTTTGAAGAGGAACATTTGTTACCTGTGATTCCTTGCTTTGTTATTTGTGTTCTAAAAAAAGATATGAACAAAATCCACTGTCGGGAGTTCTAAAACAGGATTATCCAGGATCATCTGGACTTTTATATAGACTGTCCCCCTCTACCACCCCACCCCCCTTCCCATCAGCCAGGCTATACAGCCGCTGCGACCTGGGTAACGTTTCCCTGCTTCTCTGGCAGGGTGCCAAAGATCCCGAGATACAGCTCTACATTTAGCAATAGCTCTAGTCATGGGTTTTTTCCCAGGCGATTTTTAGAATTTTTGTTATGAACAGTAACATTTAAGATAATTGGGCTGAAGTAAAGGTTGAAATTAAATCAATGAGCGAGAAGTGTTAAAAAGAAAGCATTAATCAAATTAATTAAAATAATTATTTAATTTCATAGGATAAAAGATTGTAACTGGTTATTTCGCCTTGTTTCGGCCGGCCAAAACATCACAGTTTCTAACCAAAACATCTGAAATAGCTGTTAGTCAACGCTAACTGATTCTTCATCTATGCAACTGTGGTATTTTCCGGTTCTTTCTGCCGCATTAATTTTCGGGCCCACTTCCTCACTTGTGCATTAATTACTAAAACATCTTCATTTTGCGAATGTGAACGGCGTTGAAATGTTGCAAGAAAACCGTGCCACCAGAGAAGCGTAAATGATTTACCTGCTCACCACTGAATTTCGATCTACCTTCATAGCTTTTTAAAAAAAAACCATCTCGAAACAAACCGTGAAAGAATTGGGCGATATGGGATGTTCTGCCCCAGAAGGCCTCAAAATACTCCAAAATTTCAAATCAGCGAGGCTTGAAATGGAAAAGGAAATTCTGTTTAATAAGAAATGTACGGAAGTGGGCCTGAAAATCAAGCATTTTGATCCAGGTTGATCGATGCTTTTATTTGGGGCTGGATACACCTCTTCCGTGTAAATTTTTCGTTAACAAACACTAATAAGATTATTGTTTTTGCTCTCAAAGTCCTCAAATATCGTTTCATTTAATTTAATAAATTTGGAATTTTTTCAGAAAAAAAATTTCTCGAATCCTGTGAATCCTTGAACTGCGTATGTGTTTTAGAAGCGAAAAATTGCGTACAATCGTGATGGACGACGGATTGTTGACGGAGAAATTGAGAATGAGCAAAATGCTACAGATTTGTGGTCCACAGCAGTGACGCGTCTAGTGGCTCAGGATTTGAAGGGTCACACCGATAAGGATTATACGCTACAGAAACTTGGCTTCGTGCAGTATGGTAAGATTTCGTCTTACTGCTATAGTCTTGCCAGTCACACTGTCAGTAGGTTGTGTGTGCGTGTATGCCTGTATATATGTGTCTGTACATGTACGTATTTCTTCGTATTTTGTCATCCGCTTTTCATTTCAGTAACCAGAGTAGCAAGAAAGCTGAATTTTTACAGGGATATTCTCGGGTCTGTGTATTACCTCATAAATTGTCGTGCTGACACCGCTCACAGCGCCAATAGACTTCCATTTTCCAGGCGTCCCACGTAATTCTTAGTTTTAGTCGACTTGCAAAAAATCGCTTTAGTATGTTTAACTAATAAAAGCCAATTTTTATTCTCTCATCAAATTCTGTCATCACTTGAGTGCCTTCCAAAAATGGTGCACTCATATTGAATGGGCGGTAAGTACTAACTGAAGATATGCAGCCCAGGATCAAGGGGCCTGGCGCAGCTGCGCCCAGTATCCCAGAAATCTTACTCTTACAGAAGACACCCACAATTATAGACCAAGCAGTCTTAGAATCAAACCATTTGTAAGAGATTTTGATCAGATTTTTCAGTAATTAATTTTAATATTTGTGCTAATATTGCAGCGTATTACTTGCTGACGAAGCTCATTCAACAGTGCAACAGGCCGGCCACTTATGGATTGATAGCATTAAACGTACTGTTAATATCATTGTTCCTCTATTTTTTCTTTTTTTGATTTTCTTATCCGAAATCTTCTTCCCCTGCCCCTTTCCCTTCACTACCCGCCTTCCCTCCCTGCATTTTTTACTGAAGAAAGACGGGATTATCGATCTATACGGCTGCGAAAAACTCAACATTAGTTATTTTTTACCAGAGCTGTTGCTGAATACCATTTTCCAAATGTGGTGACTGGGCGATGAGGAAGCTAACGTCCGTCCAGGTCTATCAGAATGATAGACATACATCAATACAAATCTTAGTGAATATCAGAACTGCAACGAACTACTGTTTTCCCGCATCGAAGCATGCGCCACTATGTGAAAATGGTATCACAGAAACATTTATTCATCAAACGAAATATAATAACATGCCGTGCGTTTGGCCAAAAAAAGAAACGGCTGGCATCATTTTTTCTCGCTCTCACTTGCAAAACCACATTTTACGTAGTTGTAATTTATGCGTGCCTTTTCTAACTTGTCAAAATTAGATTCTCTTTTTATGCATGCTTTGCTAAATGATTTTAAATTCGAAATCATCGTACAGAAAAATAAGAATCACTTTTTTTGGAAAATAATCTAACTACATCAACAAAAAATCGAACTGCATATGTAAGGACTTTTTATCTCCCTAACATATACAAGTATTAATTTATCACGGATAATGCCGGTGAAGTCGAACATCCTGCACTGCAACAATCTATGACATTCGGGAATTCAGCTTTTTCTGTAATTTTCCCTTTGTTAGCTGCTTGCTTGCGTTATTTTCTTTTTTTTTTTTGGCGGAGTAATGCTTTTTTTTTTTCATAAAATTGTTATATTCGCTGTTCTGTTCGAGACGAATCGTTTTCCCTTTGAAATATGTCAGGTATTGGAATGAGTGTTGCACAAAATTACATTTCTTCATGATTATCTTTACATATCCTTATAAGTGTATAATGATCAAAACTACGTGGATTTGACTGGTACCATTTGAAGAGTGCGATATTTTTAGCTGTACTATATTCAGTTGCATCTGCGTTTGCTGAAGTTTCTAAATCACTCAGCAGTGGTTGATGCATCCGACACCATACTATTTTCTCTCGATGTTTACATGTATTAGAATTCACTTATTTAAATAAAATCCTTCAAATGTGAGGAGGCTAAGGCTCAAGAATACTGTACAAATAATTTTTATCAAACTTTTTCAAGCCATACTTCACGCCAGACATGAAAGCAACCACGGAGAAGTGCTAATCTGATTTAATCGCAGTGACACCCAAGTCAAAGATGCTGGAAAAACGAGAAGGACATGAAGCGGTGACAACAGCAAGACCGGTGCAAAGCTGTTTCATTGTGCAGTGAATACAACACGAAGAAATATTTTTTTACTTATAAAATTATGCTGACAAACATCTCTACAAATATATTAATAAACATACCCTTATAAGTGTGTAATGATAAAAAAAAATATGCAAGCAAGAAAAAAAAAAGAAACGTACAGAAAAACAGACTGAAAAACTTAGTATCTATGCAACACACAATCGCTAATAAATACAAATAAAAACAAGATTATGGTTTAAAACACACGAAAACATCAGATTACAGGTAATATACTCTAACCTGTATCTGGTAGCGGGTCGCATTTACACACTCTAGATAGGCTAGTTACCCGTACAGGACGCGCTGCTCGTCACTTGTATGGACCGCCCACCCTCTCGCGCTGTAGCGCTTCTGCTCCGCCCTTCAGCTGTCGCTAGGATCAGGTCTGCTCCGCTCCATTAGCTGCACCCCTCCTTTTCTCCAATTTATAAAGTAAAGGGCAGTACGGGCCTCAAAGGTTCTGTAAGGGAATAGAAGAGGATAGTAAGCAGAATGGGATCGGTCCGGAGACTCTCTGCTCTGCGGCCGTTTAACTCGAGAAATCGGCCAGCACCAGACGAAACTCAAACTTCTTTCTTTTTTCTTTCAGTTAGTAGCATCCGGGACAGAAAAAGAGAAGTGCAAAAAGGTGAGCACTGCTAGTCGCAACCCCTCCCGATCGACCATTGCTGCTTGTAGGGGATACTAACTTCGAGATTTACACTATAAAAGAAATCACCTCCGGCCTCCTCGCCGCTATTACTTCTCCATCAT